CCAGGGCTCAGATCTCTTATGACACATGCAGATCTCATAAACCTCAGCTCTAGACATTTACACTTTGAATTTAAGAGCAATCCTAGAAAACTAGTAAAAATGGCCCGTGAGACACAGTATTTAGGATTAGGATTGTCTTTCATATTTACACAAATGTTTACAGGTTATTAGGACATTATTGATATAGAAAATAAATGTCATCCCCAAATCTCTGATGTCATTTAAGTAAGTAAAATTATTTCAAATTTATGTCTTTTTTTCAGTGTGAGGGCCCTAACCTAGAGCTTCATATACACTAGGGAATATTACAATGTGAATTTCATTTAGAAATTAAATATGTATGCTGTCAATTTAAAATGTTATATATGCTTATGTTTTATCAATTTTGCTCACATTTCACTTTAGTGAAACATCCTATATTTCTGGTGAAAAACATATCATGGGCATTAGTCCTGTGATTTACTTTTCTCCCTCTTCTCATAGAATAATTTAGGAATGCTTTTTAAATTGTCAAGAAAGGAAATACCATTTCATATCTGACTTCCTTTGAAGTAACCATCAAATTCTGTCTATATTTCTCTCCATATATAAAAACACGCACATGTAAATACATACATAAATGTAAGATATGTAAATGTGGCCATTTCATTTTGGGGGAACCATCAACACTTACTTTGCCTTTGAACACTGCTGAAGCACCTCTAAGGTTTTTTGTGTAAAATGAGGGGAGATATGTTTTTTTCTCAGATTTCCTCAAGCTCTAAAATTCTCATATTCTATGACAGCACTTAGTCCTTTATTCATTTGCTTTATTTTCAAAGCTCTTATATGTATAACTCTAGTTCCTGTCTATATTTTCAGTAAATAATTGTGTATATACAATAATTATTAGATAGAGATAAAATATACATAAGAAAAAGTCCTGCTTTCAAGGGTTTAAAAACTTTAGAGAATAAAAAGTTTTATTCTGTTGTAACTCCTGAAGACCTAAGTAACAAAGCAGATATAAAAATGGAGACTCTGACAAAGAACAATTAATATCCAATTCAGATGTCTTCTAGGACTATGATAGCTTTTCTTTTTCTTTTGTTTCCTTCAACTTGCATTCTATATTTTCTTTTTCCTTTAGCCTGATCTCATACATCTTATAAACAAAATCTGTACTAGGTTAGTTCTTTATGCTATATGTTAAAATTCCTTAAACTATGCCACATTTAGTGCATGAAAGAAATTGATTCACAGTTTTGGTTTTGTATTAACATAAACAATTCAAGAAACATTATGCTTATAAAAAAGCCAAGTTTAGTGACTTTTATTCTGTAGCTTTTATTTCATAATCTCAAAAGAGTGAACATTCTGAGAGTGTTTTCGGTCACACTTAAGAGGTTTCTAGCTTTTCGTTTTGATGACCAAAAGCTGAAAATCTAATCTTAGTGAAGTATGTATATACAATAAATAGAATGATAATTTCTGTCAGTATCTACTCCACTTGTAGCGATGGCCCTAGGTTTTCTCCCTTGTAGAGCACTTGAATAGTGACTATTAGGAGACTCTCAGGGTTTGACAAATACTCATGTCTTGATCCTCATCTCTGCTTCCTAAATAAACATCATTATCCTCATCACCTTAGAACAAGAAAATGAGTAAAACGTTTCAATAAGTTGCCCAACATCACAATAAGATAGCTTACCATGGTGAAGACGAGATTTTGATTTAGGCTAATTGGCTAGAGAATCTGTGCTCTAGACATGGTTCAGGGGTACAAAAGAAATCTGGCAGGGGCTGGGGATTTAGCTCAGCTGCACAGTGCCTTCCTGGCAAGTACAAGGTCATGAGTTCAATTCCCGGTATGGGAAAAAAAAAAAAAGAAGTCTGGCAATGCCTTGGACAGTACATATATGTGTGCATAGTCAATGCTTCTTCTAGCTAACAGGTAACAGGTTAAAGATGAATTCATTTACCTCCAAGAGAAAAACAGTCCTGGAGAGACAGCCACCTCTTGGTAGACTTCCCGTTTTATGTGGTCATTTCTGTGCTTTCTAACACCTTTATACAGGAAAGTAAAGTTGCTAAAATTTTCCTTTTCAAGTAAGGGGTTTTCTTATAAAGTTGGTGTGGAAGTTACTCTGTTTGTTCAGACTGGTTGCTTCGAGCAGGAATGAATTACAGGAGTGTGACTACTCTTCAAATCACATTCAAGCAGGGACAGACATTAATTTCCAAGTCATTGATTTTATTCCTATTTCAGATGTAAAGGGAAAGACATCTTTACACATTCCAGAGATGAACTAAGCATCTGGCCATAGGAGAGCCTCTGTACTCCAGTTTGGAAATAAAGGGCATGTGTTTGGTAACAATTTCTTCAAAAGAATCACGGCAGAGACAGCGATGATTTAGAAACTATCCTCTGAGGAAATTTATCATGCTCTTTGCAGGAGACAAAACAGCCTTCAATTTTGTATGCAAATTCTTGTCAGCAAGTCCATGTTGGTATAATAGACAATATATTGTCATGCTATGAAACTGTTTTTTGTTTTTGTTTTTTGGTTTTTGTTTTGGTTTGGTTTTATACCAGTAAAGATAACCCTACTTTGTTTTACTTCAGATCTAAACAGGAAGATTATTGGTGTGAATATTGATTTACTTACCTTAAATGTTAGGAATTTAAAAAAATCACCTCTGACTAGATAAAACTCTTTCTTTTTTAGGTATTTGCTTTGTTTCACAGGGTGGGCTGCCGTCTATATTCACAGTTTTCCAAAGACGGGTGTTATTTAATCTAACCCTATTTACTTAGTCATTTATCATTAATTTACTATTTGGTAGCTTTTATCCCAGACCTAACCTTATATTCTATTGATATATATATTATTTAGTAGGACTCTAACACTAATATGATAACTTTGCAATATCTTCATGTTCACTAACACTAATTGGCTTTTGTCTTGGTCTGTTTGCAGTGCTACAACAAGCTACCATAGGTTGCATGGCTTAAATATAAGAAATTTGCTTTTTCAGAGTTCTAGGGCCAGGAATCCAAGATCAAGGTCTGCTGGTGCTGGGTTTTCGGGCACTTTCTGCCCTGTAGGTGGTCTTCCCCCACCCACGTTAGCATATGGGTGCTAATCTAATCCCACCAGGCCTCCACTTCATTTCACCATCTAAATCTAGTTACTTGTAACATAAAGGAAATAAGCTCCAACGTGCCACACCAATATTGGTCTGTAGCATGTAGATTTTTGGCCGGGTCTAATCATCCAACCCATAACAGTGTTAATCTTCAATTGTATGAGAGACATAAATTTCTCTTGCTTGTTCATTCTTATAGGTGAAATTTAGATGTGTTAATGTACTTCTTACTTGAATAATGTTATTGTATTGTGTTTATTTACAAATGTCAACATAATCTTTTTTTGGAATGAAGTAAATTACAAAAAGACAACTGTATTTTGTTCGTGAATTTGAAACTCAAATTATTTTTCTGGATATAACATTTTAGAGTTATTTTTCTGGATATAACATTTTAGAGTACAGTTTGGTTTATGAAAATAAGTGTAATCACAGAATAATTCTGCAAACAGCTTCAATACAACCAGAGATACTAGGCATTGTTCACCTAGGTTCAGATTTATAAGATGATCATGTTAATTCAAAAAGCACACAGCTTAGTGTGTATATAAGGCAAGCTGACCCTGAACCTTCTACCCAAATTTAGGTTGGGACCATTTTTAGAGGGAAGGTATTTAAATTCAGTGACTAAACCACTGGCAAAATTTAAACCCACCCAACCAATGTTACAAATGTCTTTTTACCTAATATGAAGAAATCAAGTATTCATTCCCAAATATATCATTCTAGTCCCTTAAAGAAAGAAATATGAATATCGTTATGGGTGAGGAGCAAAGAGATATCTTGTTCCCACACCTACCACAAAACAGGAATTAACGTATGAAGTGCAGACACAAAGAACACCCACTGGCACCTCCGCTGTCACTTTGAGTGTACTTGGGGTTGTCACCAGAAGCTTGAATGAAGAGCGAGGTTCCATAGCTTGTGACGTCCTTGAGTCCTGGCTGAAACCATTGGAATCACTTCCTTATCTCTCTCTCCACAAGACTCTTGGCCTGGTTTATTGCTTTCCCAGACACAATGAGGCTACTGTGGGGGACACAATGCTGGATGCTCTGACCATCCCAGCTCACCGAGAACGCCTACGGGAGTGTCGGCACACAAGCACCAAGTAATTGTGTGTGGCTTTAACTTTTCTCATTAGAAGTCACTGCCTTTTCTACAGGACACAGGGATGGAATTCTTACTGCTGTCAAGTAGCAGTACAAACAAAGTCAGAAGGGAATACAAACAAAGTCAGAAGATGCAAAAAATTTGGCATCTTTCCGTAAAAGAGAAAGGCCATTTTGTACAGCTCTGCAGTGAACACACACAGTAGTACTGATGCAAGTGAAAAAGCTAGGTCAGACAGATTCTTGTGTGAAATATTTTAAAAATACCTTAAAGCCTTCACTTCTGTGCCTCATGTTTGCAGCACTCTGGGGTTGATATCTAAGGTCTGTTCCAGTGAAAAAATTGAGGCATTTCTTCAGTGAAAATCAGAGAAAGAAACGAGGGGGAGAAAAGACGAAAACAAAAAACCCGGATGCAAACAGAGTAACTTCCAAGAACTCTAGAGTACATCTTGGTTTATAAAAATACGTGTGATCACAGAATAATTCCGCAAACAACTTCAGTACAACCAGAGATACTAGGCAGTGTTCACCTAGGTTCAGATTTGTAAGGTGATCATGTTAATTCAAAAAGCACACAGCTTAGTGTGTATATAAGGCAATCTGATCCTGTACCTTTGTACCAAACGTGTCACTCTCTGAATCTGAGTCCACGCTGATGGTGTTAAACTTCAACCGTTCACAGTTAGGCTTCGTTCCGATTTCTTAAGAGTATGCCTCCTCGGGGCAACGGGGGCACAAGAAGTGACTTGTTCTTACCAGAATGTTGACCGTCACCTGAGCGGTTGCAGTTCTCTGGCTGAGAGGGTCAGGGACAGCATCATTGTCCAAGTCCGTAATCCTCACAACTATCTTGTACTGTGACTCAGTTTCCCTGTCTAATGAATCCAGTAGCTTTATCATTCCTGTTGCAAAAAAGGGGGAGACTTGTCATCTCAGGATTATGAAAGATGTTTAATTCATGCTGCATTGTAAGCTATGTAAATCAAATAATCTTTACAATAACAAATGGAAATTAAGGGATGAAGATAACTTTGGTCACACATTCACACCCTAGAACACACTACCACAGCAAAATGATAACAGGCGAATTCGCACAGCGCCTCAGCCCCTTGCAACACACTCTTAGGTACATGGAAGGACATACGTGTGCACAGCTTTCTGAAGTTCAATATATCAAAGATCAAAGTTGGATGCTTTCACTGCAGTAACTAAGGATTTACGGCTATACCTGACAAACCAAGGTGAATACTGCACAGTTCAAGGGAAATACTTTTTTCTTATATAAAAATATACTCTAGTGCTTACAATTTTTAAATAAAGCAGAGTCCAAATGAATATATGTGAGCTCTTTATTTCTATTATCATTTGCTATGAGCATTTTTACAATACCTGTGTAGGGTTCCAGGTAAAATTTGGGTGGTGTTCCCAAATGGCCTCCAACAATAGTATATTTTAGATTGTTAAATGGCCAGTCTGCATCTGTGAATGTAAGTTTTCCTACTAGTGTATCAACTGGTCTATTCTCAAGTATACTGAAGGTAAATGCTGAGGTAGTTCCTGTTGGAGTCATCTCGTTTATGCGAATCACTCTTACGATGACAGTAATGATTGCTTCAGAGGAAAAGTACAGAAAAATGTAATGAAGGCAATTATATGGTTTTTTCAATGAATCTTACTTTTCCATTTTAATTAACACCTCTTGTTGCAAAGCACTTTTTAAGTCTGTGAATCACACAAGTACATTCCTTTTGCTAAGCTTTATTTTAAAATTATTACATTTTTAAAATTATAGCAATTTAAGACAGATTTTAGAGTTAAACTACTTCATTAATTGATATTTTTGAAAACCTGTAAAAGCAGTTGCCACTGAAAACTAAACATAAATGCTCCTACTCCATAATAAAGAGTCTAGTTTCTAGATAGTTTAATACTTGAAATATGATTTCAGCTTGATAATATAATCAATAAAGGAGATATAATTTACTATGAGCATATGAATATTAGTATTTTCTATAAAGCAGAATAAACTTATTCCTTGAGGAAACTTTTGGATACATAGAGATTTCACATTGACTTTCACTGCAAAGTACCATATTAAACATTTGCGCACCATTTTCTCAAACAACTTGGAGTTTTTAATTAGCTTCCACTTTGCAAGCAGTAGTAAGATGCAGTGAATCACTAAGGTAATTTATAAGCTTATCATAGTAGATCATTGAAATATTTTAAAATATAAACTAGTAACCAATTTTAAAGTTCTGTGTATTTTATATGATGTGTTATTTTAATATTTTAGATTAATTTCTCCTCACTTGAGAGGACAGGACTTCCTCCGTCAGAGACTTTCACGAACAGTGTATATTTGAAGTGCATTCCTACAAAAGCAGCATTATCAGAATCTAGATGTTTAGGTCCAACCTGCGGATGACAAATGGTGGGTCATTAGTTTTGTTTCGTTTTGACTGAAAACTGTTTCATCTGTTGTGTAAAAACAAAACTAAGCTAAATAACAAATACTGGAAAGTCATATAGTAGTGCTGTCCAACAGAAATACAATGGGCCTCAAAATCGAGCCACGTGTGTAATTTTAGCAGTCCAGGAGCCCCATTAAGAAGATGAAATTCATTGTAATAAAGTAATTTATTCAACAAAACATATCCTAAATGCTATCATTTCAACATGTTAGCAACATATTAGAGAGCTCTACAATTGTTTTCTCATAGTAATTCTGTGAACTCCAGGACTTTGGACAATGGTGTGGTGAGTGAGGCAGTCTCCCAGTCTACTCCATGATAACCAGGAGACAAAACTGAGTCCTGCCCTATCCTGTGTCACCCACCTATTCTGTCCCCCAGGTTGCATGTATTAAATGTATTTCTGACTTAAGGTATTTTCAATTTACAAAATGTTTAATCTGGGGATAACCCAGATTAAGGAGCAGCTTTAGTCACCTTGTTCTATATTTAAGATTTGTGAAAAGAAGTTGTCATGAATCTATTTTTTCCAAAATGATTTAGGCCTGAGTTGGTAATAATGGGAATAATCTTTCAGAAGCTAGGTCTGAGTTACAAGCTCCAAAATCATGCAGAAGCAGAGCTTGAGGTTGACCCTGTGGGAAAGGTCAAACCAGCTCATATTTTTACTCTTCCCTTGCACTCTCTTGGGAAGAGCGGGTAGGGTAGGCATGATGCTTTCAGGATCTTTAGTAATGTTCAATACAAGGGGTCATCGAGGAGTCTTCTCTCCACAGGGCATGCATAATCACACAGTCCTCAGGGTGGTCATAATCGTAGACTGGACATGAGACCATCTAAGGGACAGGGGACATAACATGATTGTGCTCAGTCTCCAGATTTTTTGAGGTCCTTTCTGTACCTCAGCCTGATTCACATTAACTATTTTTCTCAGTAAACAATCAACATTTACCAGGTGGGGAAGTTCTGTGTAGCAGTTTATACTAAGAAGCATAGGTGAATGACATTGTTGTCATAAGATTCTATAATGTGCCATAAATTACAGAATCTTGGGACTATAAATGAAGTATTCAAGTGGGACAAAAATAGATTCTTCATAAATGAAGTAGACCACTAGAGAGCCTCAAGGGTACTTTTCCATTCTAAGATCCTATAGTCTGCCATCTATGTAGATAATAAGAAGAGACAGGGCTGGGGATTTAGCTCAGCGGCACAGCACCTGCCTGACAAGCGCAAGGTCATGAGTTCAATTCCCAGTACAGAAAAAAAAAAAGAAGAGACATAAAGAATACTAATGGTGTGAAGCCTGATATCAATAAGTTCATAATTCACTAATATTTCTGCTCCAAATTTGCTATGTGCCTTTTCTTCACCGTATTTATACTATGAAAATACTAAACTAGAAATCAGTGGAGAATTAAAAATAACTATAGCTACTCTAAAGAAAGAAGCAAAGAAACAAACACATGTCTGAGATAGTATTGCAGGATGCTATAGAGTTACCCTTATGAGGGTTGGTAGTCCATGAAAAGATTAATGGACTTTGTACTACCCTCTAAACCAAAAAAAAAGTATTTTACATTTCAAAGCACTTATATACTAAAAGACACTTGGTAAAATATTTACAGGAAAATATAGATGATTTTCCAGAATATGTGAATACATTATACAAATATATAAGGAGAACAAAAAAGGTAAATACATATTTATCCTGTTTGCACAAAGGATACTGAAATTTGTCATGTTTATCCCCAGAGCTCACACATGTATGAAACGATGGACAATCCTATTACTAGGCAGGTAAGAGCATGTGAAGGTATGTGAGAGTTCCAGATACTAAGATGAGGGTGTTGAATGAGACCTCTGCTGACACACCACTGATGAAAATGTAAACTGGTGCAACCAATCTGGAAAATAACTTGACACTACTGCATGTGGCTGGACACTTACACTCCGTGACATGGCACCTCTGATCCTAGGTGTATACCTGAAGAAGATTTCAAGAAAAACATCCAAGAATGTTCATGACAGCACTACACATGGCTTTGGTTGGAGTCTGAAACATGCCCAAGGCTCAGGGTTGCAGTGATTGGACCCTAAAGGTTCTGGCTTCATCAGCCATCATACCAGGCATGGCTTCACCATTTGATGGCCTAACAGAAAATGGTGAAGACCGAGGAGGAGAATCTGCTTCCAAGGAGTGAGTCTTGGGTCTCTGTGTTGAGGACAGTATTTGTCATCGGCCCTGGCTTTCTCTCCCTTCCTCTGCTTTCTGCCGGCCATGAAGTGAGCACAGTCCTCCCCTTTTGCCCTGGCCACACAGCCCTAAAAGCAAGGGAACCAGCAGACCAGGAGGTGGAACCTCTGAAGTGTGAGCTGAAATAAACCTTTCTTAAAGTTGATTGTTCTCAGATACTCTGATCACAGCAACAGAAATCTAACATAACACAATAAGTAAACACCAGGAGGAAGCTCAAATCTCTATCAGTGGGAGAATGACCAGAATCTTCTTGGGATAAAGTTAAGCAATAGCATGGAATACTACAGCAATTACAGAAATAAGTAGATATTTTCCAGTGATAGATGACTTAGAAATGCAATATAAATACACAGTCGAGGAAACTGCACACATTTTACCACTTTTTAATGCTCCAGAGCTAAGCAACCACAACAATAGTGTCTCAGACTATCCACACAGATGATAAAACTACAAAATCCCCCAGGCAATGTCAGAACAAAATTGGAGATATTGTTTGTGCTAAAGGACACATCAAAGGATGAGAAAGGGTAACAACACAGCTGTTAGTAATTTTCTAGGTCTGAAGTGGGGTGATAGGTTCAGAGGTTCATTTTATTATTATGTTGCATAACTTGCAAACATGTTAATCATGTTATCTTGAAAATAGGAAATATTACATCTTTAAATAATAATTAAGAACAGACTGACTAAAATATATTTGGGCAGTTTTTCAGATCCATGCTCATTAAAGAAAAATAACCTAAAAAAATATATGACTAGCAATATTAACTTAAAGGAATATCTCTATTTTATTATTTTATGTAGAAGCTAAATATACTGCACATGAAATCATTTGTATTAAATAGGTATTATTACTGAACATTAACATTGCAACTTTATCTTGGTAACCTGGAGAAAATCACAGCTCACTGAGTTCAGATAAATTAAAAATGAATATGTACAACTCTGCTAGAGTTTTAATTACTATTTTGGCATAAAATATTCCCGCTGATGTTAAACCCAAGTTTTGAGCAAATGCTAAACTCTACTTTCCCTTTTCTACAGTAGGTATGCCAATATACGATCATTTGAGAACTAAACAAACTTATTTTTACATTAAAAACTTTATACCTAAATTATTGAGTTTAAAACTCAAGCACAGTTGCTAAGCCACATACTTTTTCTAATTTCTTTTCCTATATAAGTGTTTAATTGACTAAACATAAAATTCTGTCCCTTTCATTCTTTTAGTACTCCTTGGCTTTTCTTCCATGACTGCTAGAGCAAGGTAAGTATGCTGCTGATTTGATCACACTCTGCAAAAATATCTATTGCTCTAATTCCAATCATATAGAAATTGGGGAAAAAAGGGGGTGTAGCATATATCAGTGAATTTTGTTGAAGTTAATATTCCCTGATTTCCAATTTAGGGTAGGAAACTCCATCATAGAGCACTGTGGTCCAGTGATTTTGAATCTATGAATTTATTGTAACTGATTTTATGCTCTTAGTCAATATCAGACCAGGTCCAGTACAATAATTTTGTTATTGTTTGTGCATTTTGTGGGCTTAATTTGTTTTATTCTCCTTAGAGTTATCTGAATGGGGAGAAGTAAAAGAATGTTGTACAGTGCTAGGATTTTTACATTTCCTAATTAAGGGTATTATTATATTGCATTATTTTCCATTGTGCATCTATAGTTATAATCTATTTGGTTTACAATTGTTTTAATAATCTGACCATATCAGTGATATATTCCAGTTGCATAAAGCTGTGAAAAGTAAGCACTGATTCAGTAATTTAACACTAAATCTGCCAATGCTTTGCAAAGCGATTTTACACTTTGACTTTGTTTATTACTCATTAATTTTGTCACTGAGGAACATACCAATATAGCTAGGCAGCCCTGCATATGCGGCAGACATTAGTTTAATAACGGATTCTTTTCTTTCACTGTTTGACTGGGGCAAGAAAATGCTTTGGATGGGCTGGGGATGTAGCTCAGCAGCATAAGCACTTGCCTGTCAAGCCTGAGGTCATGAGTTTTGATTCCTGGTACCAAAAAAAATGAAAACGCTATGGGAATCCAAGAAGACACATCTGATCCGGATATGAGGGAGAAGGAGAACCAGGGATGGCTCCCTAAGGGATGTTGACCCAAAGGAGTGAAGGTACTGGCTGTAGGCACAGAATGAACATGAGGACTGGAAGGCAGAACCAAAAGATATCACAGTATTTCAGGGATGTGAAGGTGACTCTGGTCTCGGTCACGCAGGACGAACACTAAAGTATGAACCCTCATTCTATTGCTGTTCCATACTCAGTATGTAATGTGCTTATGAAAGGTAATTTTAACAAACTCTAATTTTGTCATAGAACCATTTGTCCTAGGAAATATAACCTTCCCAGTTCAATTCTTAAGATCAAAATTGCATTCCAGCATTCATCCCAAAGCAGGATATGTTGTTGGCAATTTAAGGTTCAGTTAAAAATCCTGGAACAAATACTGCCATCAGCTATTTGAACTACTGTAGTTGATTAAGGATTTTATAATAATAAAAATAAAATGTTTCTTCTAGCTAGGGTTAATCACAGGGTCACAATCACAGAGCAACTTTATAATACTTACTTTCAGTTCATTGTTTGTGAGAGTAAAGGTTTCATTTGAGAAAGGATCCGTAATCAAATGATAAGTTATGTTATTACTGGGGAAAGTTCCATCCTTATCTGCGCAGGCCAGAGAGACTAAAAGAGTTTCAACTGGGATGTTTTCAGCAAGCTCAATTCTGTAGTGAGTAAAATATGAGAAAAAAACATAGTAAAACACGAATCCTGACTTATGCAGATGATCCTATTTAACATTAAAGGTGTTTATAACAGGTTCTCATTATAAATAACTACCTTGCCAATAAGAAAATCACAGTGTTGGTAAAAAAATTATATAAAAAATTGAGCCAGCACCCTTGCTAAAACCAAGGGTAATGAACTGCTGTCCCGTTGCATTAGTAAGTAGCAAATTTATTAAGACATATATTTTAATGAACAAAATGGCAATGTATAACTAAAATTCATGATCCTATACTTGTAGAGTCTAGACCTCTATGTGGCCTCCTCCAATTAGCAGAACGTGCTTATTCCTTAGGCACACAGAACACTATATCTCCATGAAATAAGATCAGTGAGAACTACAGGGATTGTACATACTCGGCAGTAGGCAGGGGTCACTGATTCTTACCGATACTCACTTTCCCTCTGTATACCCGGCTTCTCTCACACTTCCCACTTGGCTTATGCCATGTGAACTGGCAAATAAAATGGAAATGGAGAACTGAGTGTCGGCACTAGGTAAGATGATTGAAATTTGGAGTATCTCCCACATGCCTTCCTCTCTTCTCTCCATGTGGTTGTGAGCAAAAGCCAACAGCAATTGAATAAATTAGTCTCCCTGAGTCACCGCGGGGAGGATGCCCCACAGCGCAGTGAGAAACCTGCCCTGCTCATCTCTAAAGGCACCGAGGAGTGCTGAGGGGATGGTGCCAGTGAGGCAAGTCTGTAACATTTTACTAAGAGCTCGGTGGGAACCATGCTGACTAGTACAAACTACAATCGCTATGTTTTTCCTCAGCTTTAAAATCTTGTTTCTAATTTAATCATTGAAAATAATTTAGCATTCAAAACTGATGAAATAAAAGATGAATTGCTAACTTGTTCAGATGACAACAGTTCTGTCCTAAGCACAAACATTTCTAGTATCGCGTCAATGAAAATCAGTATACTGCTATCTAGAATACAAAGAAAAGGCGAAGTACTATAGTTGTGAACGTGGAATTAGTCTTTGCTACTGCAAACTTGATTTTTAAAGAAAAAACTCTAACGAGAAGTTTACAAACTAAAACTTAATTGTTTTATATTATATTAGATTAGTTTTACTTGGCATATAAAATGCACAAAGGTACGTATTTCTGTGGTACCATGGGAGACTTCAATATTTGCATACCTTGAGTAGTACTTAAATTAGATTAAATATATTTATCTCCTCAAATGTTTATCATTTCAAAATAGTGAAAACTCTCAAAATCCTCTTAGCCTTTTGACGTGTACAGAACATTACATTATCTGTAGCTGCCCTACTGTGCAGTAGGACATCACAACTCCTGACCCCTGACTGTCGTCACTCAGGGCCCCCTGTTCAACCTCTCCCATCCCTGTCTCCTCGATACTCTCCCAGGCCCTCATTGCCGACATTTGATTCTTCACTTCTGTGAAACTAGAAAACATCATTGTTGAAGTACAATCCAGCAGACACTATTACTATGTGTGGATTTTCTACCTGTTCCATTACTATACAAATGCTAGTCTGTGTGTTTATTCACAGAATGTTGTTTTAAGTGGGAGATAAGGCATTCACAGGTGCACGGCCCAAAACATTTTCTAAGGTGTGACAGTACGTCATTTCTTCTATCAGAGTGAAAATTAAGACTAAGCAGGACCACCTATCCCTCACGAGAGCGGCCGTCTACATCCTCCTGCATAGAACCGCTGGTAGTCCCATACAGGTGATATTTTGATATGAAGCACAGTTACCTACGTTTTTCCTCAGGTTTTCTATATTCAGGTTGAGCATTCCTAATCCAAAAACCCAAAAGCAGAAATACTCCAAAATCTGTCATCGTGCTAGTATTTAAACAGTTTCAGATTCTGGAACATTTCAGTTTTGAATTTTGAACTGTTTTGGAACACAAATACAGCAAGGGTGCTTGTGCCAGGGAGGAGTAGGGATGAAAATTTATGTGGTGCTTGCAACTAAGAGAAGAAAAAATCGAAAAGCTTTTGCATCAATCCCGAGGTGGTGGGAGAGTGACCCATTTATTTCTCTCCTGTTCCTCTCCTTGCAAATGCTGCAGAGCGAGCAATGGCAATCACAGCTCACGTGTAGATATCCCGGGAGCACCGAGGCGGGTTGTCATTCACATCCTGGAGAATCACTGTGAACGTTCCAGTTGTGGAATGTGCCCGCTGGTTGTCATAAGCTCTAACCCGTAATACCCAGGACTTCGGGGTGCCTACATCTTCGTAATCCAAAGGATAGGCAGTGCTAACCTCTCCTGAATCTAAAAGGCAACCAGATGAAAACATAGTCAGTATTTCTAAGAAGAATAAGTAGTGAACTAAAACAATGGCCTGGAGAAAGTCGTTCTGGGGTAAAGGTCAGCTGCTGACATGCTGGGGCTCCTCCGCTGGTCACACTGTGACTCTGCGGGAAGTGGGGTTGGCGAAGTGATGGGGAAGACGGGAACCTCATAGACAGCAATGACTGGAAAACCTTCCATGGCAAGGCCATGAGGGCGCAGTGGAGCACACAGTGAAGGTTAGCCTGAGTGTGGGAAAGTGAGCACAGCAAATACAAGGAGAGCACTGGAGTGACCCAGGGCCGGCGAAGTGGATGTGCAGGGGCAGCAGTGAACACTGACGATAGGTTAACTGAACATTGCTTTTCCAGTTATTTGTGTGCCTAGGTTTGCAATGCATGGAGCTGTGTGTGTTCCCACTCTTTCATGAACAATAGTGCCCTGACACTGCAGGTGCACACAGAGGGTGCACACCATCACTTCCAACGTGGACTCTCTCTGGGCAGCGTGTTATCCATGGTGCATTGCCTGGTGCATTTCCCAGAGCTACAGGAGTCCTGCTTCCTTATTGCTTCTGCCTTCCCAGTATCTGACTACTGTCTTTATCTATGAGACCCTTTTGCCGTGCATATATTTTTAACTCACACTTGTCTTCAAATTTTCTAAATATGTTATTTCATTAACTTATGAAAAGGGTGCTGGACAAAGGTGCATTTGCAGTTTCATTATAACACTATTATGAGTGACAGTCTTTTTCCTGAGGGTCTCAAATAACTGTTTTCAAAGTTATTATCTAGTATTTTATTAGACTATGTCTCAGCTTTAGCCAGTCTGGACTGATTTTCCCAGGAATATTATTTTATTTTTAAACATGTAACTTCACATCCTTTATTATAGGACTGTGTCCTGAATGACACGTTTGTGTATCTGTTGTCCCAGTGCTTTGGGTTGTTTCCTTGGGGATTTTTAGAATGTGATGGAAAGTGTTGACTCTCTCTGCCTATCTTCTATTGCTGTCATTTTTTTTCTATTGCGTCAATCTCTGTGTAATTAAGTCTTTAGGTAATCACAAATTTGTGGAAAAGATTTCCCTCTCTTGAGAGTAATTTGCTGACCTAATGCCTCATCATCCCTGATATTTTAATGTACATCTCCCAAAAGCAAAGATATTCTCCAACACAGCCACCATACACACATCAAAATCAGAATGACCATGTGAATATGTAATACTGAGTGTCATTCAAATTTCACTGATTGTCATAGTGTTTTTATAGCAGAAGCTCCAGTTCAGAGTCACATATTGTCATGTCTCTTTAGGCTTCTTCAATCTGGAAAACTTTGGTTTTCCCTTGTGTTTTATGATGTTGGCCATTTGAAAGATTAAAAGCTAGAAATTTTGGAGAATTTCTCTCAAATTGGACTTGCCTGATGTTTGTTCATGATCAGATTCAGGTTGTGCAGCTTTTGACTAAATATCACCGACATCATACTACATTCCTGTTATCTAACATTAGCTTGTCTCATTACTGATGAAGACTAGGTAGGTGTCTTCCAGTAAACCCTATTTCAAAGTTACTGTTTTACCTTGTGCGATATTTTGGAGACGTAGTCTTTTTTAAAAAAATTTTAAAACATTTTATCCATGACTTGAAAATTATACAAATATTTTAAAATTTTAACAGACATAAACAGATTAAATAAAAATAGAGTAAATAGAAAATTATGCAGTTAGGTACACTAGTCTAGCATGGGCTCAACAAAATGTGCTAGACTAACTGACACTAATCACTTTTTACTTCAAAGTGAAAATGGATTACACAGATTATAGAATTATATGAAAGACAGTTCTCTAACAGGAATGAATAGATCTTAATACACATTTTACTAAACAAAGCTGGAGGGAAAATCATATACCTACCAATATTACTGAATTTTAAAACTATATAAACATTCTGTTTCTCATCAAACTCTCAATTTGTGTACATATATATATGTCTCCATAGACCCAGGGTGGCCTATTTTATACGGTGGGTTATAGCCTACAACTATGAGGATTTGCATATTTATATTGAGACACACTTTCTCTGACAGTGCATCACAGCATGATAATAACATGCATGTATGCAATGTGTAATAACAAATTGGGGTAATATGTAATTTCATGTCCTTTAGTTTTAATCATTTTTGTGTATTGGGAACTTTGGTACTGGTCTAACTGGCATGAAATGTACTACACAGTTGTAAGCAGGGTTTGTTCTCCTGTGCTGTAGGAAACCAGAGCCCACTCCTCCTCTCTGTCCCTTGCTGACCCTCATCTAACTTTCCCATCCCTTCTCCCTCCCAGCCTTTCCATTCCCTAGTGGCTACTGCACCAGCACATTCTCCTATGACATCAACTTCTCCGTGTCCACAAAGGAGTGAAAGAACATGGTGTTTGTCTTCTCCAAGTCTGGTTTATTTCACTTAGCACACTAACCCCGGGCCTTCCACTTGGGGCATCATTCTGTTGACGGCTGACGAGCGCACCGCTGTGTTTGTAGACCACACTTCCTCATCCATTCATCTGTGGGTGGACATCTTGGCCCATTGTGTGCATGATTATTTTGTTATACAGATTGTCCTAGCACTGGGCAGGGGAAATTAGCTCTAGGCAATTTCTGCATCTCACTGACATACGCTTCCCATTCTTTGAATATAGCCGTGCTTTCTGGATCCTCATATGTTTTAACTACTGCAACCACAAAATGTCATTCTGCTAATGTTCTTTTGTGCACAAAATGGCACTGAGAAGTGAGTATTTTGGTACTAGGCATGCCCGTTGCTATTGTGGTGTCATGCTCCTAAGCTCTATTAGTCTTATGAAGACACAGATGCAGAATATATGCACGCATGCCTCCGTGTGTGTCTACACCTGCACTTGCACCAGTATTTGCGTTACTATGTACACATGTACACACACATAGAGTGAAAACCCTCAGTTCATCCTGACACTTTCAATTTTAATCTACTCCTCTGTGATTCACCCTAGTTTCTCATGCTGTAATCTGTAATTCACATCTCCAGCAGGAGACACTGGCCTTCCCCGTCTATCACTTTCTCAGTCCCCAGAGCCCCACGTGGCTGCTGTCTCTGACCAGACCTTGTCCTCAGCCTCGGCTCTTGCCACCTCCCCCACCCCTAACATTCTTACTCCTGAATGGAGACCACCTGTGCGAAATCTTGTTTTTTACCGTAAGTAAAAGTACTTTAATTCATTCATTTGTTTGCTTTGAGAGAGTATCACTACAGCATTCAGGCTGCTTCCGAACTCACAGTGTAACCCAGGCCGGCCCAGCCTAGAAAGCGCTGGGATGACAGGCATAAGCCCCACTCTTAAAGGTGGTGCCAGTGCTCTTAAGAGAAGAAGAATGTTGCTTTCCTTGCTTCATGAATACATGATGAGAGGCATGAACTCCTGGCTTCTGGCATTGTGAAACCTGTGTCGCCTTACAGGTGTCATACTCGAGCAGACTGATGTCAAGTGCAGACTGGCAACTGAAATTAGTTGTGTGAGTTCGGGTCAGTGAAAACCCCTCCAGAGACATTTTCTGTTAGATGGGAATTGGGACAGTAAAATCACAAAGGTGTTATTACATATACAATGTGCTTATGGGAATGGATGATCCAGAATAAATATTCAATCTATGTTACCTAGTATTCTATTTTCCATGGGAAAATTTGCTCCTCAGAGCAAAGAAATCATACAGTGTAGTTCTGGTAAATGCCCGGTGGGTCTGAATTGTCTAGAGTCCCCTGTAGAAGCCAGCAGGTTGTAGAGGTCAGGTCCACACATCAGAGAAGGAAGGAGTGGTTAGGTTTACTTCATAAAAAGTATACTGACAAATATGTTAAAGATGATTTCATACTAACAGAATAATAATCGGTCTTATTGTTAACTGGTGGAAAGCACACCATATTATGCTTTGTGAAATGATTAGCCACAAAAATTATTTTACCTTCATTGATAGAAAATTCTTTGTGTGTTCCTATAAGCTCATAGTGCACCAAGTCCTCTCTGTCTTTGTCGGTTGCTGTCAACGTCACCAGCTTAGTTCCAACCGGCACATTTTCATAAATATGGATAGGAGCGTCTGGAGTGGATCTGTAGAACACAGGCATATTTTATTGCTCAATGTAAACAAATGTCTCTTTTCACGTATGTCACACAGCAAATGTTTTAAACTGTGCATGATATGTATAGTAACAGTTTAAAGCTAGTGGCTTCAAACCTTTTGTAAATTGTTGCACATATTAGAGAATGATTATGTATTATAAAACGAGTAATATTTTAACCTATATTCCTACTGTACTCCCTTCTACTAACTAGTAACCTATGATTCATGCCAGATAAGAAAATAGCACTGCAGAAACCACTTTTTCATTCATATCCATTAAATATGGAAACATTTCAGGGTCTACAAGTACTTGTTATCCAAATTCTCTCCAGTGGGTATATCAATTTCACATTATGAATATAACAATGTTCATTTTTCTTTGTTTTTTTTTTTTGTTCTTTTTTCCAGTACCAGGAATTGAACTCACGACCTTGCACTTGCCAGGCAGGTTCTGTGCTGCTGAGTTAAACCCCCAGCCCCCAATGTTCATTTTTCTATAAAATTTTATGTGCAATACATAGCAGGACAATACAAAACTGAATTCTATTTCAGCAATCAAAAGGATTATCTCCTGTAGTTTTCATAGCAAAACATAATGGAGTTGACTTTTACTGCAGGTAAAATAATAAAATAAAACAACAGTATAGAGTTCAAACAAGTTTGCTGTCTAAATTGCTTTGAATTTGCTAAAGAAAATTCAGCATGGAAGTACTTGTAAAACATTAACATTTATTCCATTATAAAAAGTTTCACGGTGAAATCCCAGCTGGTAAATATTTAGGTTAATCAGGACTCACGTCACAACAGGGCTCTCATCGTTGACGTTCTGGATGTGGACAGTGACCGTGCCAATGCAGGACTGCACAGGGCGTTTCCCCCTACTTCTCACCGCAATTACCAACTGGAAAACCTATGATAAACAGGAGAAGACACAACTTCCGGAGTGCTTAAAATGCACAATTTCTCTTTACACAAAATGTGTTTTAAAAATAAAATTGGGATACACTTTAAAATTTGGGACCATAAAAATATATAACAGTTTCCAAAACGGCTGCTGGCCCTTTGGTGAAAGAGACAGCAATGCATGTCCTCATACGGATTTCTGCTATTAATGTTACCTTTCAGCTGTTGAGGAACTTAGGTCAGATTTTAACAGGTTTCTGCATAGTACATTTAAGGCAGTATCTCTTATCAAAATTTGTTGAAATAGAAAAGTAAAGAAATAAATTGTTTCATCATTTAGGGAAAAGAATCTGTGAAGCTCAACAACCAACTTACTCCTGGAGAATTTTGAAAGATTCAGAGCTAAGTTCAAAATTTCATTTAAAGAAGTTGTATCCCAAGGCCCCAAGTGACTGTGAGAAAATGTGACCTCACAAGTTAATAACTAAGCATAATGAGGTCAACGAATGTTTTAAATTTTTAAAATTAAATTTAATTCTGTAATTAATGAGTAGATTACACATATATGAAAAAAGTCCCTTCAAAGTACATTGCATTCTAATTCCAGAATATTTAAAACTAACAAGAAATTGAAGATCACCAGGAGGGCTTACTAAAATTTGACATTCACAACAATATTACCATTCACTGAAATTATTATACAAAAAGCATGTATGTGTTGTTTATTTAGAAACAAAATAAGCAAATGAGAAAGCATATAAAGTAAGAGAAATATGCATAATTTGTTCTTGCAAAAAGCTACATCTTAGAAGTAAAAGTAAGAATGACAAGGGAACTTTGGAATACAAAAGATAGTGAAGTAAATGCTTTTTAACCAATGAATCTATTCTTTATCTTTGCATCTTTATTGGTAGCTAGAGTTTGTGCTTCTACTCAAAAAATATTTCTTGAATATTAATTTAGGTAATGTGAAATATTGTAAAAACAAAGTCTAAATTAAAAATATCTTTGCTTTGGTAGAATTTACATTCTAATGGAGAAGACTGGTACATAAACCAAAAGAGGGGGACAGTCTATCAAACAGATCTTTGCTTGTAGTTCAGAATGATGCACAGAGCAGAATAATTGGCCCCAACCCGTCCAGAACACTCCTGAAGTAAAATTATAACTGAACAGAGAAGAGGGAGAGAGAGACAGAGACAGAGAGATAGAGACAGAGAGAAAGGGAGGGAGGCAGAGAGGGAGAGAGGGAGGGAGAGATATGACCATGTTAATATGTGGTCTGAGAATTACCAAGGCATCAGACTAACATTTCAACTGGCCCAAGTCATGCCTTTGTCAGGCCAGAGTCACACTGTATGTCCCCAAGGGACAAATCCTCAAAACTGCTCAGATAGATTTCCTCCATGAACAGCTCTTTTAAAGATGAGCTCATGTGTGGGAGGTAAGTAAACAAATAGATGAAAAAGAAACCAAATAGATGAATATACAAACCACTATGAAGATTAGTTAGCTGGGAGCAGGCTAGCTAGCCAAGATTTAAGTATGAAAATTTAATTAAAATACTGGTGAATCAAATTTAGCAATCTATATTGAAAAATACCTCATGTGGGGTTGATTATTTGCCAGACACAAGCAAGGGTAATAATAGAAAATATATTAAATTACTCAGAGTAGTGATAGGTTAAAGAAGAAGAAACAGTATAGTAATCTGAACAAATGGAGGAAAGATATAAAATCAAAGTCAAATTCCTGATAAAAAATTAATAAACTGGGAATAAATGAAGTTTTCTGTATAAAATCAAGATTAGTTACTAAAACCTTATAGCAAATACTATTCTTGTTTGAAATAGTTAAACTTTATCCTTAAAAATCATGACAAAATAAGGATTCACGCTAACACCATTGCTAGGAAATATTGTTCTTGAAGTCCTCATTAGGAAAACAATGGATGATCCAGTGGCACAATGGATTATTGCACAATACTCATAGGAAAGCAAGGTATGTAATAAATAAAACACTATAAGGATTAGAGGGGAAAACCCCTTTATTTTCCATAGATATTCTATGAATGTTTACACATTGGAAAATGAAAGATCATCTACAAATTATTAGAATCCAGAAAAGGATTTTGCAATGTTGCTATTTGCAAGGTTAAAATACCAAAATTAATAATTTCATATATAACCATGTTTTTAAAAAACACTTAAAAACAAATATTTAGCAATAAAATTAAAAATGTCTAGGAACGGTACATGCATGATGAGAAAGAACATTATGGACAAAAAACATACAAAATGCTACTGAAGTATTTAAATGGAGTTCTAAATGAATGAATGAATCTTTCAAATTTATCGATGATAGAAGATGCCACTTCTCGTCAGGGTAAGGTGCAAACTCAATGCAACTGAAATAAAAATGTCTGTGGGACTTTTTAATGAAGTTAATCCTGAATAATACATGAAAGAATAAAGAAACAAAAAGAATGAAGGCAATCTGTCCGGACGTGATACAGCAAGGCTAGCTACAAGACATGGTCCTACAACACCAGAATGAAAAGCAAGGGAAATGACCCACTCAGAAAAATATCTGTGGTGTTTTTTCCTCAATGCTCATGATAGGAAAATTTCTGGCCAAATTTTTTGTAATTTAGAAAGCCATGGTCTAGGTAATGTATGATTTTTTTTAAATGCTTTAAAGCTCTACTCTTTGAAAATTATTTAAAATATATACAACACATTTAGAATTTAATGGTCCCACTTCTCAGAAGTTTGTCAGGAAAAAGCCAATTGCGTTGTTTCTCCTTCACCTTATATCCGTCTTCTTTCCAGTTATTTGCAAATTTGACATTTGATTGAGACTCAAGGGAGAGAAAGGTTAAATCAGGTCTTCACAGTCAAGTAAAGGGAAAGGTAGATGCAATTCTCTATATAATCCAAGACTAAAAGAAAGACAATCTTACTGAACTACCTACAGCATTGTCACAGTTCTAGGCTTTGGACGTACAGAATTCTTTCTCCATCTTTTATACACACCCACAGAACCACACACAAAACTTGAAATGGCATTGCAATAAAGTCTAAATAAAAAGTAAAGTGAAACAAATAACATTTTGCATTTATTTTCTTAAAATAAATTTTGATTTATTCTGGGTAAACACTAAAATGCCATTAATGTTTGTGCAGTAACTTTTGTTTCAAGTTAGGTAAACTTTGATAATTACTTTAGATTGTAGAATATTTAAGTGTTCCATCTCCCACTCTCACCTTGGGGTTTGTTTCATAGTCCAGAAGAGGTTCAATAGTTTTAGAAATGACACCATTCCATGGATCCAAAGCAAAGTAGGCAGTGGCATTACTTGAAGAATTTAGTATTAAAAACTTAGAAAGAAAACCACGCAAATATGGTTAATACATTATTGAAAAAGCATGAATTTTGAACTGACAGTTTTGCTGCGATTATTTGGCAAGAGCAGTACCAAAATTAATTTTGTGAAGACAGTGCCAGTAAATAAAATCTGAACTTCCTTTCAGTTCCAGACTTCAAAACCATGCAAACATTCTTTCACGTATTTAGCTGTACTTTTCCCATTGGTTTTTGTATTTAAGTACTGGAGCATTTTTGGTAAATAGCTGTCACTGGTTTCATAATTAGTTTAGTTTCTGATACTGCATTTACAGCTTTTTCCAATATAAAAAGCATCCCTCCCTATTGTATCTGAAGTGTATCTAAAGGAGGAACATGCACGGAATTATTTGGAGGAAACCATTTGATCTTATCTCTGTCTGACATACATAATGTATTGTTCTGGCCAAAGATATTGTTTTTATGGGCATCAACGTAGGAATATCCATGGCTATCACCCATGTTGATAACTGGGCCAGTGTTTAAGATGAATATAAAAGATGTTGAAAAGAATTCCACAAAGAAACTAATTTTAAAACAATTTACATCCAAATTCTGGCTCAAAGAAAAATAATCAAACTTGGGAGATGTGATATGCAGTGCCATTTCTAAAAAGACATGACAGCCATTTGATGGGCTTATTAACTTACTTTCAGTTATCTGTAAGTGAACAACCAAAGTTGGCCTGTATTAGACTAAATCCATTAAACATTTCTTATGAAAAAATCTTCTTTAGTTTCTTCCTTTTTTAGGATGGTTTTAGATTTATTATAATTATCATTTTCCAAGTCTTTGTTGTGTTTTCCTTTCCTAATGACTTTTACAATACAATTTGAATTTTATAACAATTTGCATTCATAGAAAGGACACATGTGAACATATGATTGACATATATGGAGTAAGCCATTCCATACACATCTGCATGTCCTAGACTAAACCCACACATATGTTCCTGCACTTTCTAAGCACATTATCCCATGATCTGACCATTTCCTCTCCACAAATACACACACACACACACACACACACACACACACTCAGACACACGGAGCTTCTGAGCCTGCTAGTCAAGGGGTCCATCTCCTCTGTATTGACTTTTAAACTCAGTCTCAAACTCCTGTGAAACTGTGCTGATCAATACATCATTATAATCAGGTGACCATAAAAATTACATAGAGACTCAATTCTCCAGAAAACAGATCTCTCAAGTTTTAGTTTCAACTATATTCCAAAATCATATTAATAAACCAGTATTTTTACAACAAACATAAAGAAATAGAAAAATATCTGTCTGTTCTGTGGAGAATTTGACTAAATCACTAAATTTAAGGCAGAATATTCCAATATATTAATATAATTTACAATATATAATGGAGAAAGCATTTCTCTTAAAAATTTAATTTGATTATGGCTCATATTACACCATAAAAATTTCTTAGAAAATAGTGTGATAAATAAATTATATTAAATTTCTTTTTTACCCCCTCTTAAGCTGTAACCATTTTGTCATCTATTACTCATTAATTCATTATATCTTGCAAAGTATTACTGAAACCAGAAATCATATGAAGATCTAAAATATCCTTTGTTCAAATTATGCATATCATGCAGAAAATATGCCTCCTTAGCATGAATAAACAGGAATTAACAATGGAAAGGACTTCTTATGTGTGTGTAAATGTCATCAGATAAATAATACTAATAAATATACAAGCTCTGGTTTTTCAAGAGATCTCAGACCATTTTCAGTCTATTGCTTTCACTTCAAGGCATATCATTTTTGTTCTATATTTGAAGGTTCAGCTTCCTTCTCTAACTTCAATATTCATTGCAGGATAGAAAGACTACTTAAGAACTGATGAAATCATTGTTTGCCCTTTGAAAATTAAGCACCCTATTTCTCAACCAAATTTGAAGGGGAAAAAAAAGATGGTTAAAAACTTACTTCAACTTCTTGTCCGGGATTTGGGTCCCTTGAAAGAATCCTATATATAAAGGCAGCCCCGGGCACATCTTCACGCACAGACAGGGAAACACCTGGACATTGCATCAGTTGTGAATGACAACCTCCACTCAGGCATTCTCCTGCTCTGGCTTTCCCCACACGGGGCTGTGAGTCATCATGCCGCAAGCATTTCTACTTCAATCGTTTTTGTTTCTTTTGTTTTCCTTTTTTTATGACAAAGTCTCCTTATATTTTCCAGGTTATCTTGAAATCCTAGACTCAAGAGACCCTCCTGCTTCAGCACCCCAGTACTGAGACTAGAGGTATTGCCACTGAGCTTGGCTTTCATATGGTTTTCTTAATGATATTTGTTCCAAGGAAGAAGATGAAAACTGAAAATATATTTTCAGTTTAGCATTCATATTTTAAAAAGTTACCAGCATTGAAGTTCAGATGTCAGTATTCTCACCTGTACAGTGTGGATAAGGTACGTCTTCTGCCTTGTAGTAGCTCTGAGGATTAATCAACACTTCATACAGACTCACCTCACCAATGCAGAACAAATTCCTAAATTCCTGTCTCCATGCATTGCTCCTGATCTTACTTCCAATGATGCCAGTATGATTCTATCACACCCCAGTGCCAACACAGAAGCAAACTCATTTAGAGGACTGGTAGTTACTTCATCTGCCATGTCATCTTACAAATGATAGTTTTATCAAAAACAGGGTTCTTGCTTACTGAGCCTTTTAGTCCTGGATACCAAGTCCAGTCAGTATTGTATTAGTAGTCCTGCATAACCTCATGCTTGTCTCTATCTAAGAAATGTTACGGAGCAATGTTTATGTGGACAGGACAAGTTTATTTTGTTCCTTAGTTTCAAATTGGACACGAAGAAGCAGATTCTCCTAATTTAGTCATTTTCTCTGGTTAATTAGAGCCGCTAAATAAGTAAACACAGTAAGCAAATTGAATATGTATGTGAAATCAGCATCTTGAAAATCATGAGAATATCCTTTCATAAGTAATTTCAGAGACCCACAGAGTTAGCCTGTATTTGTTAGGTAATTATTTTTTTTCCTGATTCACCTCTGAGCCCAGGGCCCAAACCACAGGATGGAAGAGAAAGGCACCATGATCTTAACAGAGTCTGAGAAGTTCATGCTGCTACAGCTGAGTCTGTGCTGGAATTCAGGTCAGAATGACCTTCTCGGGATCCATGTGTATCTTTTCAATGCTTACGATAATTTGGAGAGACCGAAAGGAAATCACAAAGAACATCAGATTGCTTCACAGTGGTCCAAAAGATAATATCTTCACAAACACCAAAAATCTGAGGAATGACTAGTAGCTCACCTAAGACTCTCTCTCTCTCTCTCTCTCTCTCTCTCTTGTTCAGTCTTTAAGACATGAATTTGTCATGAATTTCTGTGGCAGATAAATTTATTATTACACCTATCAGGAAGTGCATTTTGGTTCAAAGTGAGAGGTGAGGGGGGCACTTCTGAGTTCCAAAGGTGGCATTTCTAGTGATGGAAAAGGGGTACTGCTCATATGGGAAGCAGCAGCAGGAGGAGACCAGCGATGGACAGGTAGAGGAGGGTGGGGAGGACTCTACGAAGTCGGTCTTGTTCCACATGTCCTTACTTTCTTTCCCTCTCCCTTTCTCCTACTTAGTTTAGTTGGGTAATCTCTCTTAGAAGTAGGGAGAGGAAGAAAAGTAGTCAAACAGAAAAGGTACAAGTCAACAAGGGTTTAAAATGCCAGATGACTGAGCAATTTAGGGTATAAATAAAGAATGGAAGACTAAAAAGCAAGGCACATACAATTGTTGCTATCCAACTTTCCCAACTAACACTAAGTCGGGCCAACCTATGTTCTGAGATCCAATTGCATGCAAGTTCTCAGTACATTCAAGTATTGAAAAGTCTGCATTTCTAGGAGGACCCTATGAAAAGCAGTCACAGGTGAGGGTAGGAGCAGTGGGTGAGTTTGTGATAGGTTGGCACAAAGGAAAAGAGCATAGTTCATTATTTTATGTGTAAATGTATGCTGACCCCTAGTAATACATCAAATTTTTGTAATGAGAGGAGTACAGTATTATAATTTATGACAAACTTTTAAGGTATGTATCCATTTTAGTCAAACTGAAAATTAACTCTGTATATTGCTTTAAATCTACTGTAATAAATGTAACCGAAAACCAATACAAATAAATACTCTTTGGGAACAAATAAATCAAATGGAATAACTACATACTATTAGAAGGAGTGATTCTTACTCAAGAAGCTGAGATTTTATAACTGTAGAATTTCTAATTTAAGAAACATTAAAAATTAACAATAGAGCATTTTCTGAAAGTTAGTAAAGAATAATTGCCTATAATCTTACAAAAGGAAATAATGTTTTGTGTAAAATAGTATATGCATTTATGATCACCAGTTTACATTTCTGTACATAAAAATAAGGGAACTTTTCAAAGTTTATATTATATATCACCTCTTGCTTATTTTGAATTACTAATTTTAATGGTTTGGTATGAAATGTCCATGCCACCTTGTGGTTAATTTCTCACTGCTAGACGTTTTATTTCCAATGTTGTGCTATTGCAAATTCTGCCATATATTTTAACTATGCATCCAGTATTTTTCATAAACTCTAAAAAATGGGAACACTGGGATAAATATTATAGTCAGCTTTTAACATAAATGTTTACAAAAATGGTATTCTGAATGTTTCAAAATTCCTGTCTTAAAAAGTGCCAATTTCTTTATACCTCAGACAATGGTATTTTTTGATGTATTATTTCTGTACTTGGACAATTTTGGAGGTGAAAGTTGTATTTTATTATTTAGATTTTTATGCTACACAATAGTACAGATAGTACAATATTGTACAATCTGTACAATAGTACAGATAAATTTAGAATAATTTTGCCATCACTCCACTCTGTCTCCACCATAGAAAGAAATGATTAGAATTTGAATTTGAACTACATTAACTCCAATTCTTTCCTCTCAGGAATGTACTGGTCTCTCATTTTATTCAGTTTTTCAAATATTTTTCCTTTATAAATCAAAAGAAATTATAACTCTAATTCTAAGTTTTTTTCAATACTTTAAAAATATTCCTGCCACAACACTCTATTTTGTTTTCAATAAAATGGACTTGAAATATACCTGCTAAAAAACTTGAATCACAGAAAATAGGGTCATCCACACTCTCCACCAAGACTGTAAATGTGTAAGTGCTGGTGTTATTTCCACTATCTTTAGCCTCAATTTCCAAAGAGTAGGTTCTGGAGTTGTTTGGGTTGTCAAGGTTCAAAGGCTGAAGAAGAGTGATTATTCCTGTAGCTAAAGAAAGAAATAAAATGACCATTACAGAGTCTATGTTAGCTTATGTACACAGATGTTGTTTTAATTCACTTATTTTTCCCTGCATAAGAAAGTGACATTTAGCTATTATGGATCCACTGGAAATATTTCTTTAAAACCTTCTGTATAACTTTTACACTTAAAAATAATCATGTATTTAAAATTACTTTATCATACTTCCCTTCAAGGTTCTAAATTGTTAGTCTTTTGTGTTTATGGAACACAGGAAGCTTCCTGACCTAAAAATACTGAACATAAACTATTCCGCTTTATTTTTATTAAAACAGTAAACTCGTTGGCATTTTTTGCCTGAAACACTAGCCAACCATCTTAAAATCAAAATCATCCATTGCCGCTGCCATGAAGTTAATCTGATCACATAAAAAAAAAAGTTGAAAAATGAGCTTGGGAGTCAAACCGAGGGAAATTTTCAAAGACAGAAATGAGTATGGATCCCCGGCACAAAACTGCCTCCCTCAGAGCGTTCTCTGCCTGGCCTCCTGTGCTCCGACCCCGCCTTGAACGTCTTCATGACTCTCAAAGCCTGGATCTCACCTGTGTTTCCCTTAGCTCTTTCTCCCCCGAAATGTGTATCTTGAGTATAAATGCATAAGCCAACGATTCTGATTCAAATAAATTATTTCACATGTGGGAAGATCAGTATTACAACTTTAAAATGCTCTAACGTTACTCAGTCAAATTACATCCCCAGAACTCTATTTCTTGTGGGTTTTCGGTTTTGCTTGGGCTCCAGGGAGATTTGAGGCCACCTCAGAGTGTAGAAAGAGACAGTAGCCTTTTACCTCCTTACACAGATTGGGCCTGGTCCATGATCCAGTGCTGGCCTGAGCCCGTGACTGCCTCACCTCGCTGACTTCTAGAACAAATGTGGACACTGAGTTCTGTGGTCAAAGGCCCCAGCTTCTGCAGGGCACCAGGCCGGCAAGGTCAGTGGCAGGAGTCTCAGCACATGCTGGGGAACAGTGGTCCAGCATGCTGTCCTGTGTTCCAGTCCACCCTTAATCTCCCCACCTGGCATCCTTCTTTCCTTTCCGATTCCTGCCCTGTGGACTTCAAGCTCTAGCATCAGACACAGACACTATACTTCTGGTGCTCCTGTTTGTTTGGACCTATGACTGATAGAACTGGTACCGAGACTTCATAGAAAGAAGTATTTCAGAATAGTAGTCCTGTCCACATAGACACAGCTACATCCATAATCAACATTCAGTTATGCAGGAAAAGTCCCCAACTGAGGCAACAACGAGGCCTTATGTGTCCCGCAGTTTCCAAGGATTTCACAGATGCATTGGTACCAATTATCTTTGAAAGATGGTGGTCAGTTATAAAAGCCAGGTTTTTACGTCACTCATTATTTCAAAAGAATGCCATTTTAATAATAAGAAAAACAGCCACTATAAATGCCACATGGTTTTGGTTTTCCTGTTCCGTGTTTAATTTTGCAAGGGTAGTTTTGCCAGCCCAACTTCTAAAGGGAGTGAGGAGATTAGATAGTGAGTGTGTAGCCAAAGCAGACTACAAGAATCTGTCTAAAACTTACAGGGGTCCAAGCCAAACATCTCCTGCTGAGTTTTAAAGGCGTAAGTGATGCTGTCTTCGTCGCGATCGATTGCTCTTAGTCTTGCTACAATTTCTCCAATGGGAGTCTTTTCAGTCACATTAATGGAGTCCAGAGGAAATGCTCTAAGGGGGAAAATGGTGATGGAAAAATTGTTGATAGAAATGTGTGGATTCTTACACATATGATGCTCAAGGAATGACAACTTGACCAGTTCCAAATCCAGTCAAATACAAGGAATTTACATAGCTTTTCTGTATAAACATCACTTTTCAATCATACAGTGTCGAGTACAATGTCAGATATCAAAGATATTGTGACAGAAGAGAGGAAAAGTGAAAACAGACCAGGACAATGTGCTTCTACTATTCCAAATATCCACTGTAGGGAACAGCTGGCAAATGAACGTGAGAGATGTAATATATTTATTTTTATCTTGTTATCCGGTGTGATGAAACGCCGTCTAAAGTAATAACTCATTAGAGCAAGTTGTCAAAATATTTATAATTTTACTGCTCATCTCTTTAAGTAGTATGTAAGGTCCCTGGTCATGTCTAGAGCATTTCAGAGCCTTAAATCATTCTCTTATGGTCCACCCATTGGGACGCTCTTTATCGATGACCTACCATGTATTGTGCGGGCTTGCACGGGCACGACTAAGTCTTAGCTCCTGAAATGCGGGCGCGCACTGCTAAGAGCACATACAGCTATACATCAGTATGATGGTACGTAACAGATGCCGCAACTTTCCCACAGGTCTGAGGAGGAAGGAACACTAGTTCCGGGGACTGCAGAGAGCTTCAGGAAAATCTTCAAAGCAATGTGAGGTCCAACGGAAAGGAAGGGAGGGATGCCGTTTGGTCACCATAGTCCAGTGTGGGTCTTCTTCCTTTACACCTAATGTGATGACAATCATCATACTTGTGTTCTGAACTTTTCATTTCATTCATTGTCACTTACTGTGCTGTACCTTAAGAGATGAGAAATATCTGGAGACCACATTTTGGTAAGTTTGGTACAGCTTAAATTCCCAGTATTGAATTCTACTACATAAATCCAAGTAGTAAGTTCATTCTTACGAAAGGAATGAAAGGAGCAGAATATTAATCCCAAAGGCTGATGGCTCCTCTGCCTCATACACAGGTGGGCAGAAGGGCAGCTCTTCTGGCAAATAAGGGGCAAAACTTGCAGATTTGCTTCCATTTTCAGATGATAAAGACAGCGGGTTTGTGGATCTCACTCGGTGAGTTACATTTCTTAGTCACTGTAGTGCTGCAACTTGCTAATGTAAGAAAAGTAATTTGAAAACTACCATTTTCATTTTTATGGATATAAGAAGTGTTTGGTTACTGTTAGATTGTAATAATACATCTGATCATTATACTTTCAAATATAGGAAAACGTCTACATTTGCACTTATGATCTGAAAACATGTTTGAATGCTACAATTATACTTCAGAAACATGAAAATTAAAGTACTTTAAGCATTTTAAATTATGTTTTAAGGTCAAGTTTTACTTAAAGTCATTGTAGCTATTAAAAAGAAATGTAAGCACTTTGGAACAAATTGGAAAAAGAAGCCAAAGGGAGAAAAAGGCACACCAAAATGTTTTAACCATCCTCGATGCTGATCATCCCTAAATTTGCTTTGCGGTACTTTCTGATGTGTATTTCACTTTTGATCAGTACATGTACTAATTATGGATAGGTAGTCGTACAGTTTTAAGAGAACTTCATAAATCTGTTATATAGCTACAAATTATTATTTACAATCTATTACTAATCTACAACATTGTCATTAACAATCTATGTGAGAGTTTACCCTAGCCGTTCTCCCCTGGTTACACTTTGGAATAAATATGCTTACTCAAATTGAGGCCTTTCGTCATTTATGTTTCTGATCTGGATAATTATTGTTCCTTGGCAGAACAGACCCGCTGTGTCCGTCACCCTCAGTGTAAGCTGGAAAACCTGGAAAAGAGATTTTAGAAATTTTATAGTGTATTGCTTGGTAACGCACATATTTCTACGTTAGGTTTCCTGTTAAGGCAGGCTTTGTTTTTTCCAGTTAAAAACAGCATTTTACTTCTTTTAGAAGTAATTAAAGGAAATGTAAGTGCTTTCTTAGCTGGATTAGTAGTAAATTTCAAAATAGCTTCATTGTACAGGCCATTAAATTTGAGTCAGAAGTCTATGTAAGTTGGCTATTTGCCTAAATATTGATGAAATTCAACCAAAAATATGAAGGAATTCTAGAATCACTTGTTAACCCCAAATCTAATGTATTGAAAACTATTGACAATGCCAGCTGTTTGGTGCTAACCACTAGAAACGGGAGCATTCGCCACTCTTGTGGCTCCTGGACGTTATGTAATTTGTGAAGAGTTGAGAATGTCTTGAGACCTCAAATGTGTTCTTTGTCAACCTGACACACTTCTCACCCCTCACATATTCATTCGTGTTAGCAAGTGTAGCTTTGGAGAAAAAAAATACGGAAAAACTGCCTACCTTGAAGGTAGGAAGCAATCCATCTTTCCAGAACAAGCATCTAGAAGCCCTGCACTGTCCAGGACCCCACGCTGAGTCAGGGACTCACAGCACTGCCCCGGATTTCCATCCCTGGGATGTGTAACCTGGGGCCACATCTTACACAGTGGGTCACAGGTGTAGAGTGGAAAGACGGAGAAGGACCTGAAGGACTTGCTACAAGTCCGACTGAATGTGTGAGTATTGGTGGTTCCAGAAGGGTCAGCAGTAAAGCTCTGAGCTGCGTACACAAAGGCTCCTCTACACAGCCTGCCTGTCTTCTCCACCTCATCCCATCTGGAAATCTTAATCAAACTGTTCAAAAGCTATGTGTCGCTGGCCTCTGTGCCATCCTCCATGTCCAAGATCCAAATTGAACTCATATAGAATCGACTGACTTTCTGCTACAATTTACGTATAGTCTTCAAAAATAGACAGTTGAGATCATGTTCAACTGTCAATGTTTTCTCCTAAATACCCAACCAGTGGTAAATTGTCTGTTTGTATTCTAATGTCTTACATTCCTATTTTCCTATATTTCCTTGGTCGCCTACCCGAGTTACTCCATGTGGAGGCATTTCTGAACATAGAGATTATTTTAGATAACAGTAAGGATCATGATGATCATAAACTCCTTCACTTTTCATGTGTCACACCTCATTGTTCTATGAACACACAAGCTCAGCAGCCACGGAGCTATTTTCTTTCTAGGCCGTTGTTTCTACTTATATAAACATCCTTTTTCACTCCACATTAAAAAGTTGTCCCCAGAATACTTTCCTTAAATTATATTTCTCATAAAACTACCAGAAATCACCTTTTCTCCTATAGCAAAGAATTCATTTCAAATTCTTCTTTTAGGTTCATACCTTGACCATTTAAGCGTTTTAACATCCTAGGTGGGTCAGGGCATGAATGATCAAATCATTTCAACATAAAAACTTCACTGTTCTCAGTTTCTTTCATTTCTTTGACAGGTAGATCTAAAAAGCTAAGCCATAACCCCTCTTCTTTGGTACCCATCAAGTGTGGATCTAGGTTTTTGGTTAACTACACTAATCCTTTCATATGAATCACACAAAATATTGCTCTTCTTCTAAAATAACATGGTTCAATTTTTCATGAAGAATTCAAAATTATGATAACTCTCCTTTACTCTATGTAGAAAAATAAATATGGTAATTACATGATATCCTCTGTCAAAGTCCAAAGTATCTTCTCCTTTCAGGCTGACGATCCCATTTACAGCATCCACTCCAAAAGATTTTGCTCCTTTCTGTGGCCCAGAGATCTGAGTCTCAAGTGTGTACTGCAAAATGAATATGCATTACTCACACCAAAACAGATGCAAAGCGTGAAGATCATTAAGATACAATGATAGAACAGATACATAGGAAGTCTCCCATTTTTACACTAATTAATTTCAGTTTTTTCTCTATGGTTTGGCTGTTATTAGGACCATTAATATATTCTTGTAGTTGAGTTGTTCAGCTATGAACTCAACCAAAACATTCGCTGCTTTTTAATAGAACTTCAAAACGCTGTACATTTTCTAGGATAAGTCACAAAATTTTAATTCTGATTCTGCAAAAGCAACTCTGAAAGAATATACAAAATAAATGCAAAACAAAGTAGAATTAAGAGTATGAATACTATTCAAATAGCTCAATTAAACATATAGTTTATGATTTACTTTATGTTCTTCAATTCACTTGTAGTTTTTGCCACCACCTCTAAGAAGACGTGAAAGTAGATCAATCTGTTCTCTAAAGCTGCTGAAAAGATGTAATTTGATGTGAGGTAAAAATTCATAAAGTAAAGCTTAGTGACTTTGGTGGATTTCTTTTTAACCCAAAATTCATTCTCTCTTCTAACACTATGGTCAGAACACAAACGTTTAAAATAACCACCTCCTAACCCCCTCCCCGTACTCTTGCAAATAACAGAACTGGTAATAACTGCTCTCAGCTGGACCACAGGTTTTTGTTAACCTATTGAGAAGATATCATCTAATGGGAGAGATCTCATGTTTCTTAACAATTTCATTATGTCTAATCTACAACAGAATATTTTTGGAGCATTCTGCAGGTAGTTTTTTAATACTTTGACTGACAGCAGCATATGTATCACTGAACATTAGGCAAAAACAAAACATGTATCATGGCAAAATATATATAAAAATGTATAATTGTGGAAATCAAGAGACCTAGCAACTTCCACAGGATCACCCGCTAGCTAGGGAGACAGTCGTAACTTTGCCCAAGTCGTCGGACAGCCCCAAGGCCACCAGGTGCCCATGACTTCATGCGCGGCAGCTACACCGCAAGTGTGCTGGCTTTTGCAGTCCAGTGCACCATGAAACTCTCAGACAGAACTTTATGGGTTCTTTCTATTTTGCCAACTCTCTGAAACGTTTTACAACTATGATTCAGTCCTGAGAAAAGCAAGTCTCACTGAGTTGGATCCTTAGTAAGTAGGACACTGACACACGAGAAAAAATATACACACATACACAGTCACGTTCCCTTGTGTCGTTGGAATAGCTAGAAAAGTAAAAACGTGCTGATTCACACCCAATGGGCAAAGCTCAGGTTTTGCTCAGCAGTGACCTCTGCCTGCAGCCCTCTACCTTGAGAACTCACTTTGTATTTTTTTCAGCACCTCAAGAACAAAACTTCTAAAAGAACATATTCTAAAACTACTATATGCAACACTAACGTAAGTTGTGTAAGAGTTGTTAGGTTTGATAAAGGCTGCTTAATTGTAAAAGTAAACTGAATATTCTGAAAAACAGCTCCAGTCACTGCTCATATGCTTGCTGAAGCAATGTGCACATGGACTCCACGGCAGCCACCCACCGTCAGCCTGTCACCGTGCACCAAGTCCTCGTCTGTGGCCGTCACTCTGTAAATGGACTGAAATAGTGGGTAGTCCTCATCGATTTCCAAAGCAGCTGTGAAGCAAAAATCAACATGTATCATAAACGGAAGTACATTATGCATTCCTTATCTTCCTAGAGAGGAAAGATGCAGCAGTATTCACCACAGAGTGGATAGCAGGGCTGGGATGACATTTAAAGCTGCAATATATGTGTCACTCACTTCTGTACTGTTCCTTGTTTTCCTGATTTTCACCATCCTTTTCCTTACTTACTTCCTTAAAAGAGAGGGCCTTTTCCTTACTTCCTATAGCACTCTCTGCAGCTCACACGACATATGTGTGGACAATTTGTATTGCAGGGCAGTGATTGGACATCACAAAAGACTACTGTAATTTCTAGACCCAATGAGGTGGCAGAGAAGCACTGCCCCCTACTGAGCAGGTGTGCAGACAACTAATTAGGCTCCAGCCACAGATGCCTTCCAACGTCCCCCACATCCTGGTCCCTGACATGATGGACCAACCCCAGGAAAGAATCAGGTTAATTGTTTTATTGAGTTCTGGTGTGTTGTTTGTGACTGTAACTCTGCGCGTGTGTGTGTGTGTGTGTGTGTGTGTGTGTGTGTATGATTACAGTTTACTGAAATATAAATTTGAAATAAAATTGAACTCAAATTTTGATAATAAGACATCTTAAATATTCTATTTTTTACATAAATTGACAGGTCAAACATATATGTTATAATAAATATATAATAAATCATATATATTATTTCACATAATAAATATAAATTACATATAATGAAATATATATGTTATGATAAAAGTATATGTTAACAGTTTCCCACTAAATTCAATTTGTTTCTAATGTAATCACATTTAAAGTGAATGACCAGGAGGTTTGAGGGTAGAAGGATAAAGATATCTATCTATAGTCATGACTCCCAATATTTTTTTTCTAAAAACAACGTAGAATAAAGGAAGAAATCACATCACACTAAAACCATGCGGTGTACATAGCTTGAAGTCAGAGCATGACCAAACTTCATGACTTTAAGAAAATTTTATAAAGAAAGAAATGAACTCAACAAATCCACTTTCTCCCACTGCGAGGGCTTGCGCCAAGCAAGGAAGGACTCAGAAAAACTATAGCTAAGAGGAAAACAAATAATAAAGCTAACAACAAATAAAATTATTACCAGAAAGATCAAGTCTAAAGTGTAAAAAGCCAGAAAGTCTTATGATTGCCATTCATGTTTAGTACTGTCCAAAGAAACATAAAGAAATAAAGACACATCACCAGACTTACTTTTTCCTGGAGTCAAATAACCAAGAACAGAATTCATTTTAAAGTAACAAATATTGCAAGTAGAGTGATGACTAAAGAAAAGCACCCAGAAATGCAGGTACCGGGGTGTAGAACTCATGTTTGATTCAATCAGAACCTTACACTTTTTAAACTTCCCTAACAGTTCAACGAACATCAGATCTTTGACACTTCCTAAGTCTAAGCCTGAGCTGTTTAGTTTGCACAAAGGATTCCCAGGGCAGTCATCGTGCGGGACCTCACTGCTGCTCCTCTTTTCCTCCTCCGCTGTCTGCAGCAGTTATTTGAAGACTGTCTCTTGGTGCACACCTCTAACCCCTTCCATTGCACTCCTGTCCACGGGAGAGCCCTCATTTTACCACTCAGTGTAAACAGGAGCAGTAAAGCTGGTGACAGCTGACCTTCTCCCCCACAATCTACACCCTGCTTCCACGTGCACGCTCTTTTCTGCTTCTAACTTGCAGGGTTAGGTAAATCACCCCCTTCTCTCCTCTTGTTCCTTCGCAGGACTTTACCTTCCATATTCAATCTCTCCCTCTCTTCCACCTGCTTCCCAGGATCCGTGGAACATGCTTACACCTCTTTTCTTTAGAAAAGCATTCTTGACCCCAGCACACCTGAGCTATGGCCCTTTCTCCTGCGCTTTGGGGCCACACCTCCCGCTCACTCTTTGTCCCTCTCTACGCACAGAAACTCTTCCCAAAAGTTACTGATGAACTCCTCGCCGGCAGACCAGGGCTGCTGAGTACCCACCTGATCTGCCCTCTCTGACCTCTCAACATTTGTGCAGCTGGCTTTTCTTTCTTTCCTTGGAAGAAAATGAGCATTGCACATCTGTAGGAATTACTTGAAAACTTCTGAGAGCCTCTGGAAAATTTCCTGGGAAAACTGAAATTGGCAAATTTCCTGAACTGCTATTAAGTTCTCAGATCAGGCAAAATCTTTGTTACAGCTTTCCAAACCCTGCCAAACAATGTCTTACAAATCTGCAGTCTGCCTAGGTTCTTCCCATTCCATCTTTTTCCTTTTTGCGTCTTCTACCCTCCCACCTTAGAGCCAGCAGGAAGAGAAAAGAGGAAGTGGTGGTTCTGGCACTCGAGTGCCCGCAGGAACCAAGTAAGAGCCCAGGACAGCACCTGCCTGCAGGCTCACACCTTCACCAAGGTTCTTCTAAAAGAGGATTCCAATTACTACTCAAATCTAAAACCAGCATCAAAATTGAAAGTGGCTGTATAATGTCTGTTTCCTTGGAAAAAGAAGTGCACATATTTATAAAAAAAAATAACAGTAGCAGTAAAACTTAGTGAAAATGAGCTTTTGTATCAACAGAGAAGTATGAATGTCACATTTCCAAACATAAACAAGGTTCCTTCTATAATTACTGAAGAAGTGAGGATGATATTTGAGAACAATATAATAATTGTATATATATAAAATATACTTTATTTTTATAATAAGTTTTAAACTATTTAATATGAATAATTTAATGGAATGAATATTTGATTTTGTTTTGTAAGGTCCAAACTTCACAATGATAATTTTTCATATAATTTTATTTGTAAAGGAAACTTACAGTTAACATTCATGATTTTCCAAATGAACCATAACACACTATGTTTTCCTACTACTGAATTTTTTTTTTTTTTTTTTTTTTTTTTTTTTTTGTCTTTTTCAGACAGGGTCTCTCTACGCAGTTCAGGCTGGCTTTGAGCTCACTTTGTAGCCCAGGCTGGTCTCAAACTCACAATGATCCTCCTGCCTCAGCCTCCTGAGTGCTGGGATTACAGGCGTGCACCACCACACCCAGGGTCTACTACTGAATTTTAATTGCAATAAGAAAGAAAATTTCTTTCAATTACACACATAAATAAACAGGGACATCCTACTCAGTAATACTCTTTTAGAATATTATTACTTCTAATAATACTTATATAATACTTCTAATACTTCAAATTATTATTTCTAATATACTCAGTCAGTAACTCTTCTAGTGTACCCTTAGAGTGTAAGAGGAAATAAAAAAACTCAAATCCAGACATTTTTAATCTGTGAAATACAGAGAAAATTAAAATGATGAATACAGACTTCTACATATTTAGATGATGAGTCGGCACGACTGATGACTCACCCATTCACTCCACCTGAACGTCAGCTCCATCTCTTCCTCACTTTCTCCCTCCTGTCTTCAACCTCCCCAAGGAATTCTCACCATTTGTTTATAAAATTACCCACATCTCCTTTTAAGAAGAACTAAAGCAGACACAGACCTAGAACTCTGTTGTAGTTCTGCTGCTGCCTGGGCTCCAGGCTCACACTCAAATTTCTGAGGAAATGTTTTGTCTTTCCACAACCTCACTGACCAACCTGCTTCCTTCTGGCTTCTGCCCCCAGAACACCTATGACACCCTTCTCAGACGCAGGAGTCACCATCTTGCCTGTATCTCTCAGAAAACACAGTGATACTCTGAATTCCCCTCTCGGCTGAGGATGTCTAGTGTGCTGACCCCTGGCAGTCTTTGAAGACCCTCTCCCTGTGCCCTCCAGGGCACTCGCACTCCCAGCCCTACAGCTCCTCAGCTGCTCTTCTCCTTGGCAGCCTGAGTCGCTCCCAGTCATTAAGTGTAGGAGTCTTCCAGGTTTGGCCCTATTCCCTCCTTTTTCTAATGCTCTGCTGTGACTGAGTAATTTCATCCAAAACCATGGTTTCAATTACAAAACATTTATAGCTCTAGGCGAGACCACTGAGCACAGCTGCTAACTTAAATCCCTCCTTTGATAGAACAAAGGCTTATCGAGCAGGACATGATTGAAAGTGAACTCAAGAGTGTTCCCTTACATTCGGGCTGCTTCTAGGCTTCCCTGCTGTACTTGAGTGTCACGCCGCGTATGCCTGGTCGTCCTCCTCTCCTCCTTTATATTGGATTCATGGTCAGTTCATTTCCTATTTGACATCTGGAGACTACCCAGGCCAAAGTGTTTACCTTCTTCCCTGGATTACTAGTACAACCTTGCAATTGCTCATCCTCTTTTTTACTCTACAGGTATTTTAACTTCCACCCTTGTGTCAAATCTAGATTTCTGGTATTTTTTTTTTGCTCTGTGAACTAAGAATAGTTTTTATACTTTTAAACAGAAGTGATTTTAAAAAAGCAAAAGATGACTAATAGTTTGTAACACAGGAAATTTATATGAAATTCAGATTTTACTGTTCACAAATAAAATTGTAACAGAACACAAACACACCCACTTGTCTTAGATTGTCTATTTCAGCATCCTGCTACAATGGCAGAGTTGAGAGATGCAACTAAAGACCACACACAGTACTCTCAGCACTTCTAACATGGTGAATTCCAAAAAATCTAATCACATCAGGACTCTCAGTACCACGTTATTCTTCACGAACATGCTTGACCATCATAGAAAAATAAGAAAAGTAGACACTGAATGACACACTTTTAAGGTATGAGGAGTGTGGATTAGTGTGCTTTGAGGTATCTGGCAAAAAAAATGTATTATACAATGGCTTTGTAGCTATGAGCTGAGAATACATTTCAGAGAAACAGGATAAATGCTCATCACAATCTCCTCACCTAAGTGGAAAACAATGGTCAGTAAAAGCAGAAAAATTTAAACAAAATATTATATAATGATAGATTTTTAATCACAAAGGTAAACAAAAATATGACTGCAACCAACATAAAATTCTGAGTAAAATTATTGTTATAAAATTCATTTGATAGCCAAGCAAAGGAAGTCATTCTCTGACACTGGGTCACTTAACACTTTGCTCAATCAAAGCTCTTTCTATCACCTCAAAACTCCAAAAAGAATATCTATTTTTCTTGATAGTAGATCTATAATATCCTTAATTTTGTAGTTTTGACAGTGAAACTTCAAATATTTATTATCTACAATGCTTGAAACACAATATGCTCTGCCCCTGCAGTCTGTATACCCAGCCCATGGGTCTGTTTGAAATCACTGCCTGCTCACCCTGTTTCAGAGGATTTGCACAACCTTAAGGACAAAGACAGACTTTTGAAAACCCCCTTCATTACTCTTAAATAATCATTCTGGGTAACATTACTCACTGTTCTCTCCAGTTCTATCCCGGTAGACATTCATTCGTCCTGGTCACTGTGCTCTACTCTCCCTCTCTGCCTTTTACACATTATTTCTGCGGGAAATGCTGCTCCCTCTCCTCTTTTATATCTGGTCCTCTCAGAGTTTGGACCCAAAGTAAATCAGGGGTTATTTAGAGAATGCAGCCCTTGTATCTTGGGCTTGGTCAACCCCGCACAGAGACACATACATAATTTGCTTTCACAGTAACAAATGCCTCTTGTTTACATTATTATATCACAACTGAAATTTTATGTTTACTGTTGTACTGAACTGACGGCTAGATTCCCTACTCCTTAGAACATTAAAATAGTTTGAACCTTAAGGATATTAAAATATATTTCTTGGTGTTTTTACAGGTATACCCACTTGCAGGTGTATTAGATTATCAAAGAATTATATTTAGTTTTGTCTCCTGTCTTACTCTTTTACAATAAGTCTTTTGAAGAATCTCATTTGATACTTTTAAAGATTTGTTTTTTAACCACATAAATGTAGAGGAAAATTTTCTACATAGTGAATCTGCTTTCAAATTATTCCAGAGAGATGTTTTATGTTTCCTTGTAGATATATGACTATCTGCCCCTACGTTGCATATCTATGTAAACATACATTACACACATAGTTTTAAAAGAAACTGAAAGGGTAAACAAAATCCAAAAGGTACAGTAAACATTGTGAAAGGGAAAGAACGAACAAAATGAAAGAACAACTGGGATGGGGAAAGGAAAGAAGAAGGAAGATAGATGTATAGATAGTTATATGTACACAAGAGTGCTAAAATAATTGTATTGGTAGTTTCTATCAGTTCATTGAAAGGAACAGTTGTTTATGTTGTTCAATCAACCTTACATGCTTATGTCTGGTAATCTGAGCAATTACTCTGAAGATAACAATAAGCAATATAACAACCATTGTTAATTTCCTATCATCTTGTTTTGAAATACTGTATCATTGTTATTACTATTTTAAATTCTCTGTAAAAGAAAAAAGAAATCCCTGAGTATCTCTACATGAAAGTGTCCCTGGCCTCTTCCGTTGTAGGCAGTTGTTGGAGCAGACACAGAAAACCATGGCTCATACCTGTGCCCGCAGAGAACTGGGGGTCAGCCGTGCAGTCTGGGGGCTCAGGGACGTCGACGATGTTGATGGTTAGAACGCGCCTCACGAGGCCCCCAGTGTCAACTATGAGCAGGAACCGTATTGGATCCGTTTCGTAATTAAAGACTTTGGTAGATGTGATGACACCAGAACCTGGCAGAGAGAGAATGCAAAGCTGTAATTACCCTCAATACATAGAAACATGTCGTCTGTATTTTGAAAGATGTTGAAAATACATATGTCAACTCTTTTGTAAGGAAATGACATGATCTCCCGAAGTCACGGAGCTCACGGGAATCTTTACTGAAGGAGAGCAAGTGTGAGCGTTTCCATCTTCAGTTTTTCTCCGTCTCACCAGGAAAAGACCTAACACAGGCAAAGCATATGACTCCTCGTTTCTTTTTAAAATGTGGCACGAGTTAGACTTCTACTTTTAATAAGTTGAATTTCCCTCATTTTCAATGAATATTATTTCCAGAGATTACAGAGAGCATGAGAGACAGAGATCACTGTTCATCTCAGTCATGTCTATATTGAATTAACAGAAAATATGTTTATTGTGCATATCCGCTCCATTAGTTATGAGGAGCTTACCCATAATCAGAATACAGGGTGGCCAGAATTCTGAGCAGGCACAAAAGTTACCTATCACCAAGAATTTACACTTGTCAAAGGAGGGACACTGACTGAGAAAAGATATTTCTATTTTCTGCCTATTGTACCCATTACCACTTCCCTGCTGGAGCAAACTAACACTTGAGATTAAAAGAATAAGTTAAACAAGGACACTAAACAAAAGAGAAGCCAGTACAGATGACAAGGAAGAAAAATATGGGCACTGGTAAAAAGAACAATTTTTACAGTTCTCGTTACCAGCAATATTAGTTCTATTAAATCTGGATTTATTAAAAGAAACTATTATCAATTTAGCAACTCAATCATTTAAAAAGCAACGTGATAGTTATGCTACTTTTAGAAAGCTCAAGTCACAAAAACTACTGAATTGGAGAGAAAAAAATTATTCTATATCTGGGTACTTCACTATTATCCATAGCCAATATCTCTTTAAAGAATTGTATTAGCTAATCTCAGCTGATAAATTTAATAAGGACAAAAAGTGAGGCTCTAAAAACTAAATTTTCCACAAGTTCTTTTCAAATTTTTTAAATTCATGGGATGACGAGAGCCAAGACAAATCAAGTAATAACAAGAAAAAAAGAATAACCAAGCTGAGCTTCTGTTAAAGGGAGGTAGGGTTCATGCATGCTATAAATAGACTGAGACAGGGGCTGGGGATTTAGCTCAGTGGCAAAAGCACCTGCCTGGCAAGTGCAAGGTCGTGAGTTCGGTTCCCGGTACCGGAGAAAAACCAAAAAACAAACAAACAAAAAAAAAATAGACTGAGAAAAATATCTCACCTATGGTATTTGATCGAACCTGGAGGGAATTAATGGGTTCAACCACTGGCGGGTGTTTTCCTAATGTGTCTCGCGGATGAATTAGATGAACTAAGACTTGTTCGAGTAACCCCATGGGTTTCCCTTAACTCCCAAGAAAGAGCTTTTACTCCTTATTTTGGTGTCCAGGATGTAAGGGAGGGAGAGGTCCAGTGCCACTGTCCACGATGAATCACCTGTCCTGTGACCGGGTGGAAACAGCTCTGTCCACCGGGGAAGTAGAGGCACCACCCACGGAGGACGTTCTACAGTGTGCTCCTGTCTGTAGGCCGTCTGTCTGTCCAGAGCTGCTGGAGCCTGGGGACTTTGGCCATGAGGCACCATGAAAGCCTCGGCTTTGGCATCCGCGTGGTTTGGATCAGAACCGTGCCCAAAGCCGGACTGCTAGGAGGCGTGGTCCCCAGGGGGTTCTGGGGGGTACTTCCGCAGTGGGGCCTGGGGGCGGTCTTCAGGCCTTAGAGAGCGCGCCTCCAAAGCCATCCTGCGGCGCTCGTCTATTCCTCTTCCTCTTGTCACTTCCCAGCCAGGAAGCGAGCAGTTTCGCCTCACCACGCCCCGGACAGTCCTGCGCTGCCTCACCGTCCGCCATAGGCAACTGGGCCAACCTGTCAGGGGCTGCGGCCTCCAAGCCTGGGAACCAAAATCATCTTTCCCTCGTCTAAGTTGACGCCTCTCGGTGGTCTCACACAGTGGCAGGAATCAGACCGCGGAGCGCCCCACAGGGGCTGGACCCGCAACGGAGCGGAGCTGCCCAATGGGTCCGCGCCGCGGTTCAGCAGGACCTCCTTGGGACAGATTTGAACAAACCTTTAAAGTCAGCCTTGTGAATGAACCCAAGCAAGGGAAGAACCATTTAGCCAAGGCAGAACTGCGGCAGATAAAACTGAGGGTTATCGGATGCCACTGAGCAGAGACAGGAGGAGCACAGATTTGAACAGTTGGGGTTAGACTTAGAAACACAGCCATACTGTCGTCGGTATGGGGCCATGAACCAGTAAAAGTGGGGAAACGGTTGAATTAGGCATGGTCTTTGTCTTCAGTAATGCCATCAGGGAAGTAGAGCTGCTAAAGAAAGGGTAGTTTAAAAACACACAAGCCGGGAGTGGTGGCACGTGTCTGAAACCCCAGCACTCACGAGGCTGAGGCAGGAGGATCTCCATGAATGTGAGGCCAGCCTGGGCTACATAAGCAAGTTCAAGGTCACTCTGAACTGCATAATGAGACCCTATCTCAAAAAATAATGATAATAAAAATTAACACACACAAGAGAAGCATTTTTTTTCTACATTTGAGAGCAGTATGGATATTGAAATTTCTTCTTGGAGGGAATTATTTCTGAACTAATAAATTAAAAATAGGAAGGAGTTGATGAAGAGAGGAAAGTACAGGAGGCAGAAGACATGACATGCACAAAGGCTCAGAGGAGAGTGAAGCTTTGTGTTGAGAGATGTATGTTAACATTAAAGTATGAAACTTCCAAAGGAGAGCAGTCCTTTCCACCCGAAAAAATAAACAGAAGACACATTTTCATGAGATTTGTGTGTCAGAACCAAGGGTTTAGATTTTACCTTGGGGAAAAGTGGAAGCTGCCCCAGAATCATAGGTGGCACGAGATAGATACGTATCAAACAATTACAGAGAGGGATCATAACTATATAATAATAAAATTACTCACGGTAAGGAGAAAATTGTGGGGCTGGGGATGTAGCTCAGTGGAAATGCACTTGCCTGGCATGATACAACCCCAAAAGTAGAAATAGAGGGGAAGGAGAGAGGGAGAGAGGGAAAGACAGAGAGAAAGGCGAGAGGGAAGAGAAGGAGAGGAGAGAGGGAGGGAGGAAGGGAGAAGGGGAGGACTATGAGGGAAGTCTGAGACAGGAAGGGAATGCAGAGGTTGGAGGAAACCTCAGGGAGGTAGTGAAGAAGGTTGTGAGATAGTCTTGGCGGAGATCAGAAAGGCACAAGGAGGGTTCGAATACCCTGTAAGGACTCCAGGTTCTGGGTGGTCGGGTGGCGCTCCAAGGGGAGTCTGGCCTGGCTGTCTGCCCCTGGGCCCAGAATCAGACTGCTGAATTTCAGATGCCATTGAGTCTGCGAAGAGGTGGGGAGGTCTAGGGCTCAGGGACAGTGCTTGAGCTCTGGGTGTATCTCATAGCTGTGGCCAGAGGATGCGTGGGTGAGGTTCTAGTCCCAGTAAGGAGGCAGGGAAATGCACAGAGTACACAGCAGGAGAGAGCAGGGGACAAATCATGTTTGGTTATGGCCTTGGATGTTAGAGCCTCAGAGATGTAGGTCCAGGGACTTAGACTGGATCCAACCATGAAGCTCAGCACAGAGTGCCAGATGCGGCAGGACTTGGAATAAGGGCGCACAGCAGGTGGTGTGTGCTGTCTGGACTCTAGGGGATCCAGCGGTGCACCGCGGTGAGAACCAAGTACCCTGAGCTCCCGGCCACAGGGGACCCCACGGGAGTGGGGGAATTGGCTCTGCAAGGTGAGGAGCACCCCACCTCTGCCTCCTGACTGGGAGGTGTGAGACCCGTGGGAGGAGAAGGAGCCCCAGCCCAGAGGAGCTGAGTCTGTCCCCCGGTGACACATTTTGGTTCAAGCCAGGAAGGAGGTAAGGCCACAAAATAGGCTGAGACAGTAAGGGACTTTCAGAGCTCACTTGGTACAGTGGGAGACTCCAGAGCGCACAGTGGAAGGCTGGGGAGGACAGCAAAGGACCGGGGATGCTGCAGGAAGCCCCGACCTAACAGCTGCTGCCAGACAGAGAGGCCGTGTGTCCAGGGGCACGAGTTTTCCACAGCCCTGGATTCAACCTGAGTGCTAAGAGGAGTGTGCAGAGACCGGTGTGCACGGCCATGGCTTGTGCTGTCACCTCCCAGAGCTGTTGCACAGGGAGGAGGGGGAGGAGAGAAAGAGCAGGAGCAGGAGCAAGGAGGAAGAGGAGGAGCAGGAGAAAAAGGAGGAGCAGGAGAAAGAGGAGGAGCAGGAGGAAGAGGAGGAGCAGGAGGAAGAGGAGGAGCAGGAG